GCGGGCCCTCTACGAGGCGGTGTTCCCAGCAGGGGCTGCAGCTGGTGGCGATGCCTGTGGGCCCTCTGCCTCCCCCAAAAGACTCTGCCGCCGCCCCGCTGAGCCCCTGGACGCTGCCGCGCCTGCCGTGGTGGTGGTCTCAGTGAAACATGACCCCCTGCCTCACCTCCTCCCCGAAGCCAATGGGCACAGAAGCACCACCTCACCCACAGTAGTTTCACCTGCTATTGTTTCCCCCACACAGGTAACCAGAAAAAGAAAAAAAAGAAAAAGAAAAAAAAAAAAAGAAAAAAGGTGGTGACCTGGCACCCCATCCCACATGGCCCCCAGTGCACCCCTCCTTCCTTCCCCATCTCCCCCAAGGTTGGGTGCCTGTGCACGCTGCCAGCCTCAGACTGGTGCCTGGGGTAGCTCTTGGTGTTCAGGCACCCAGCAAGCCCGAATGTGAGTTTTCCAACTCTTTCACCCCCCAGTTTTCTCACCCCCTGCTACTGGTCAGGCGGCCGCTTGCTGTGTGCCCATGGGTTGGATGTGAGGCGTGCCCGGGTGCTGCCCTCTTCCCCCTCAGTGGCAGCCCGGATGGCTCAGCCCTCTGGGCTTCTTCTTTCCCTCCTTTTTCTTTCTTTTCCTTTTTTTTTTTCTCTTTTGTTTATATTTTATTTTTATTTTTTTTTGGTGAGAGATGTGAGTTATGAAAGTGGGGCCAAAATAGTAGATAAGGGCGTCAGGTATCATTAGTGTGCGTGGTGTTCTTGATGTGCTAATGAACTATTTGAATAACCTCAAATGCAGGAAACAGCCAGGAGAATACTCAATTACACACTGGTAATGAGGGTGTAATTTTAAACTTCAGAAGTTAACAAGAGGGTTAATACGGCAATTGCATTCATCTTGTATTTGTTTATTTAAAATAGCTCAGTTTCCTGGCACTGGTCCTCTTTTTTCTTTTTTTTTTTCCTCCTTTTTTTTTCTTTCTTTTTTTTTTTTTTCTTTTTTTTTCTTTTTTCTTTTTTAATAAGGCAAATTTGCTTTCGTTGTGTCAGTTGCCATAGCGGTGAAATACACAGTGAGAGCACAACTAGACGGGTTTAGGTGCAGCTGGGCAGCGGAACGAGCCCGGGCGGATGAGGTGCGTTTCGCGGAGGTCCCAGGCGCTGCCGGGCTCTGTGCCCCGACCCCTGCCCTGGGAACCCCCCCTCTGCTGGGCGCCGGCACGTGCCGCTGGTGCCCGCTCCCTGTCCCCTCCGGAAAGAGCTTTTTCCTTGCGGGTTGTTCGAGCGCTGGAGCTTAAACGACTTCCATGAAGCCGCAATCGGCTTGAAGTTTGGGGGGAAAAAAAAAACAAAACAAAAAAAAAATCATTCTCACTAAATCTATGTAAGAGCGCGTGCGGTTCACGTTGTGCCCCATAAAAGCCGGTGTTTTAGGCAAGAACTTTACCGCCGGCTGCCCGACGCGGTTACAAAACCCCTCTGACATTCTTGTGTCAAGTAGGAACAGGGCTCGCAGCCGGAGAGCGCGGCGCTGGGTGAGCACAGGTATATGACATGCCTGAGCTGTTTCCCAAGTGGAAATACCAGTTCTGGACAGACTGACCTTTTCAAAGAGTTTGCCAGCTAATCAACCAGCCTGCAGGCTAATTGGGAGGCGGGGGAAAGGGAGAGGGGGACTTTCTGTGAATGCCTGCATAAGCGTTTATGTTCTTTAAAATACCTGTGACCTCTCCTTTCTAGCAAGAGAGGTTTTTTTCTGACCACTTCAGTGGAGTGCTGTAGTTTGATCTCCTGCTGTGTGTATCTGGTGTCTCTGAATGGCTTAGAGGCTTGATTATGTGCAGATAATGTTTTTGTTCTAGCTCATTATTTCAGGTATAAGCTAATGCGCTTTGCTTAATTTAACCCTAGACTGCTATTTCCCGTGCCTTTAATGACCTTGAAAGTAACTTTGAAACTTCAGGCATAGTTTGGCTTTTCTAGAGCAGCAGCACACGTGAGTATGGGAAGGGGGAACTGGGCAGTTCAGATCCAGTTAGCAGTAACAGAATATGTGTGTCTTTTAACCTGGTAAATGAGGTGTCTTAGTACATTCAGTCATCAGGCTGGAGAGCTGGGTCTCAACGCCTGCCCACAAATCTCTTCACACTTGTATAAAGCTTAGGTGAGGAGAAATCCAGCTGCTGCACTGTTTGGTGCAGAGCTGCAAAGCTTCCTGTGTGAAGCTTTCGGAGCTGTAATTCTCATTAGTGGTGGGCTATGGGGAGAAAGAGGGAAATATCTAAAATAGATTATAAACTACACAGGCATGTGCTGTTTTCTGAAGTGTGTCAAGAAAGAAAGTGAACAATCAGCAAAGATGCTACACAGGGTGTGGGGTGTTCCTGTAATTGTATGGAAATGTTCATCTTCACTCACAATTTAATGAGCTAAACATGCTGCCCAGCCACTTCTGTAGCTGAATCTTGCCTTCGTTACAAAACTCAGTCTTTAGGAAAAGTGTATTTTTATTTTTTTTTTCCTTTTTAATCACCTGTTCTTCTTGGGTCAGTTTTAACTTATGGACCTCTGGGATGTGACAAAATGAAAAACACTGACTGTGGAATAGATTTCCTTGGGAGAATGTTAATGCTAAACTTTTTCTCCCTATCTACCTTTTATAATAGTTACTTTAATCAAGGTCCAGGGCATTTCCTGGGGAAATTAATGACTGGCCAGAGTTAATGGCCCAAGGCATTGCCTCAAGTCATCAGCTGTCCCAGCTAGTCATTAATCCCCAGGAAATGCCCTGGACCTCGATCGTTACTGCTTAATAAATAAAGACCTTCCAGGCCTTTTTTCTGAATACATCTGATCAAATCATGTGATGTGAAATTCTGCTGTTGACAAATATTCCTGATTCCTTGAAAACTTGAAGGTCCTAAGTTTGTGGTTTGTTGGTCATCTTTGTAATTATTCTTCCAAGGAACAGATTCTGCTGCCCTTGTAGTCTTCTGCAATATTCTGTTGAATAAATGCTGGTGTGATGAGTGGGTTTCTTAGCATGCATCTGTGCTCTATTTTATATCATTAATCATGGAAATGGTTAAATGAAGGCACTAAATGGGATGTCTTCAATTTGCACTGACTACAAATTTTAAGACTGAACAAGGATGCTAATTTTATGCTTTTCTGTTGTGGTTGCTCCCATCTTCTGTTTTAGCCCCAAGATGTCTTTTCAATGCTGGGCTTGTAGGAGCCTCCTCTAGAGTTTAGGGAAAGGTATGTTCAGTGTTCATCTTGATCCAACTATTGCTTTAGGTTGCAGCCTTGAGAGCAGCATTTATAGAGTGTATTTTAAGCACTGTGCCATCATGGCACAACTTTCATTTCAGTCCTTATTTGCTCTGAAGTGTAGCAATTTTCCTGCCACTGACAGCAGTACTTCAGTTCAAGTTGATGACAGAGGGATGTAATTTGGCTGTTGTTAGTCTCTCGTGTTACTGCAAGATGAACAATAGCTAAAGTTTAAGCTTTTGATGCTACAGTGTGGTGGTAGCTGTTCATTTATAGATGTGGTACACATTGAACTTACTATGGTAGTAATAGCCAAAAATAGGTCTAAGAAAATACATTGGCTTCTGCCATGGGTGAGGAGAGTTGTATGTCACTTGAATATGCTTCTGTTATGTGGGTTCTCTCACTCAGTCTGGTTTCTCTGGGCTGCTTGTGAAGAGCTGCATCAGCTATTAAGATACCTACCAGTCATTAAAACATCACCCATGTGCATTTGTCCTGGCTGTTTCCTCCTGTTTTAAATCCAGATCTGGGTTGTTGTTTTCTTTTGATCTGGCACATGTCTTTTTGTTGCCTTTCACTCTCTCTGAAGAGCTTACTTTGACCAGAACCAGAGATCTCGTTCTGACTGTAGGTTTCACAGAGGAAGGCAAAATAGTAGCACATGATGAATTTAAGTAGGCAGCATAAATCAAAGTAACTAATAAGTTAGTCTAGCTCTTTCTAGTCTTTGGGTTTTTTTAAACGTGGCTAAGAGTCTTTCTGCTTGATCTTTGGTCTGGGAGTAGCCTACATTTGCATAAAATGGCCACAAAAAAGGTTTGTGTTCTGTACAGATGTCTGTAGTACTCTGACTAGAATCATCATTATGTGCTTTCCAAGTATACAGGGTAGGAGAAAGCCTCAGACAGCGTCAGGGAAGGATGCTTAGGATGGCAGTGTTAGGATGCTAGGCTTTATTTCTATACAGATAATAGATGAGGCAATACCCCTATCTTAAAGGCTTAAAGTACAGCAGCTGTTAAGGCTGATGACTGCTAAACACCTTGTTAATTCTTGTGTCAGTACTTCTGCTGATCTGGTTTCAGAGGTTAGTACTGGCTGCCCTACTACCTAGTTAGTGCCATCGTGTTTGACTAATGGATTGTTCCAAGTTGAAAGAAAATCCAGGATTTGCTTCATGTCTTTTAAAATAAAAACATGGACGTTAAAATCTTAAAAGTGTGAGGATTTAAGGAGGTGTAGGAACTGTGCCTACTTCAGAGGCTTCCAGTTCATGGTTGTTTGTGGCTTTTTTAATGGTGGAGATTTTCACCTTCTAAGTTACAGATCAAGGAAGTGATTAAGTGAAGGATTCCTGATAGTCATCAAAATTGCTCTGAAATCACTGGGAGATGGGGTAAGGTAGCAGGGGTGTAAAATATCATCCTCAAAGACAACTTTCCTATCAATCTTCCAAGTGAAACACGTGAATCCTGGCTATTGCTCTCTTTGGTGGAAGTTGATGTTGTTTGTAAC